TACCACCGCAGACACGGCTAGGCTAGTAACCTTGCCAGCCTTGAGCATGGAAAGTCAACAAACGCTCGAGAGGTGAGAGGTGTCAGGAGGTGATCAGCAAAAGCCGTGCTTCTGCGTCATGTCAGAGCGGCAACGCTTCGCATCCTCGTTTTACCGTTTTCTGCCAAGGCGGTCGATGTCGCCTTTTAGCTTGAGAAAGAGAGCTGTGGGTGGAGGAGCCGAGGTGAAGCAGGGGCACGGCTGCTCAGCGCCATCACTAGAAAACTGCTCGTCGGTGGGGCAGGCGGGAGGTGACGTTAGAGAGAGGCAGGAAGCTGGGAGGGCGCTGACAGCAACGCGCAGCGGGCACTGCTCGCCCTGCGCAGAAGCACGCCCAGAGCTTCACGCTCGCACCGTGGGGCTGTGAACACCACCCCTCAGGCACATCTAGTCACCACAGGCAGGCTGCCGGCGCAGCTCCGTGCCCGCAGATTCAAAGGACCTCCATCCCCACCAAGGCACTTTTCCACGTTGGGCAGGTTTTCAGGGGAGGGTTGGCACCCTGGGGGCTTGTGCAGGTGCCTGCAGGGAGGCAAGGGAACTGCCGAAAAGCTGGCTCTATGAGTGAAGGCTTGGAAATCTGGCCCTACAGGTGGCGAAATCCATCTCAAAATAAAAGTTGCCCAGCATATCAACATCATTTTAATAAATACTAGAAGTAGCAAAATGATTTTTTAATAATGCTTTGACAATTAAGAAGCCTGACAGAAACAGAAAACGGAAATACTTTATCATCAACTCTTTGTAAAAGCCTGTTTTTCACTCCAGTAAAAGAAATATATCAACTTTCCTTTTTCCATCTTATTAAATATTTCCTAGACAAACTATCCTGTCTTTGCTTAGTCAAATAGCACTGCTTGTCTAAATAAAATTCAAAGAAAAACTTTTCTATGTTCACCGTTCTTGATATCAATATTCATTAGATAACAGAACTCATAGAGAGCACTTGCTCCTATCTGAGAAAAGTAAGTTCTTGAACACATTTCCTCTATTTTGATGTACTTACTTAAAAGAAATCTGAATAAACAGAGATCTAACCCTTATCATCCCGTGTGTTGTTTAAAGTCTTCTGAGCTGCAGAACTCTTTCAGCTTTCTTAGCAGATGAAAGCACAGGATTTGGAACCACAGCATACACTTCTGATTGCTTGTGTGCTTCTTCAACCTCTCCAGATCGGTTTATACCTCAAATGCTACCGCTTACGTCTAGTGATTTCAGAAGACTATTCCTCCTGCTTGAAATGCATATGTGGGCCAAGGGTATAACAAATTCATAGAAGCAAAATGATGTGCAGCCATAAACAGAAATGAAAGTCAAGCATTTTTCTAGAGGGTAGGGTTCACAAATGCAGGGTTCACCAACGGTTTTCCAAAACGTTCTGCAGCATATAACGGAGCTGCAGAGCACGCCTGCACAGAGCTGCAGCAGTGGAGGGACTTTAAAAGCTGAATATCCAAGCATCTGCTAGTTGTGCTTTTCTCAGACTCCTGACTGCGGCGTCTGGTCCTGCGCCTTCCTCGTCACATTCTGATGGGATATGGCAATGCAAAACCTATTAGTACTTACCATATGAGCTGCAGGAATTCACCTGTGCCAGAATGGTGTGGAAACTACTTATATTTTTGTGCCAGGCATGTCTGGGGAGGAGTCTCAAGAGGCTATAGCCTGCAGGCTCCAGGACAAAACTGATATGCAATTGCCCAGCGATGTGTAATATTGAAGCAATACTAAAAAAAAAATGACACTACAGTCATTTCTGTACAATATAGGCTACCACAGGATTCGGGGATTGCTCAAATTCAGCAGAACAGTAAATCAAAATTTCAATTAAAAGCGGATTACAGGTACTTAGGTTTACGGTCTGTCCCAAGCCAAAGACTTAAGCAAGCCTGTTTTCCAGACCTTGGCTCTCATTTGTGAAGCTTCTACTTTCTGTTTTGTTTTGTTTTGTTATTTAAACCTTTCATTTACAGAGCAGTTAAGATTTTAATTTTTACAGCATTTTTTTTCTTTCTGAGGCAGGAACCCATCTTCACCAAGTCCCTGCTCTGCAAAGCACTTGAGCTAGCACAGAAGAAAAGTACAATTCTGCCACATCTCCGCAGCATGGGAGAAGCCTTATGGCGGCGAAACCGTAACACTCTGCTGGAGAGGGCAGCTTGTGCTGGCTGCATGTCACAGAGCTGTACTCCATGGAGACGCTACAGGACCATCCACAGGAGGTGGGATGAGTGAGACCATGTGTCCCTGGATCCACTGGCTGTTTTCCCCTAGGGAATGAGGAGAAACAGGAGCTACAGGAAAAAAACCCTACAGCTGTGCGGTCGGGGTGGGAGCTGCACAGCAAGCCCATGGCTCTACCACCAGTCTCACCGTCTGCATGTGCCCACACCCACCGCAGGAGCAGGGCCAGCAGGCTCACACAGTATTTAGGCTTTATATACAGTATTTTGCTTTGGAACAGTCCAGTTGAGCTGTAAAATACAGGTCTAATGTGCGTCATGCAGCTTTTAAAAGATCCCTTGCGCAGAAATACCTGCAAAATTATGGTAGGCACTGAAATGTTAGCATTTTGACTAGTCCTAAAGCACAGAAGGAGAAGCAGCTTACAGGATACCATCTGATTTGTGTAAAACCACATCTTACACTTGATGATCACTCTTGCATTTGTTTGTCAAAAACCTACACCTTCTATCTTTGTGGGATTCGTTTAAACAAGAGACAAAGTGTTACCTGGACCAAAATAGTGCTTTATCTCCCTTACATTTTTTTACACTGATCACACAGTGGTTGTTGACTCAAGTATTTTTTCTTCATGAGCTAAATTTTGGGTTTCTACACTGTCTTGAAACGTTTAAAGAACGTTGCGACTGGAATCAAATAAAGCAGAACATCCTAAATTGACTCCTAGAAATACAGCAGCATAAATGACTGATTCAGTCATTGTGCATGGTTTCTGAATACTTAATCAAGATGATCTTATCTATCCTTGAAAGGCACGATGGAAACAAACACCAGCAACATAAGGGCAAAACTCTACAGCTACAACACAGGCATAATAAAAACATACTATACTATTGACTCTGATGATTGCAGAAGCACATTCACTCTTACTGCTGTTACAAGAGTTTGCAAAGAATGTAAGATGTTTTTCAATTACCTGTATGCACATATACATATATATTAAAAGAATATGAGTGGAGAACCAAACAGGAATGGGGGAAGGCATATTTACTATGAATACCTGCTTCCCTTTACCCTACTAGGGTGTTACATTTTTTTCTTTCAGGTTGCCCTACACTGAAACGAAAAGATTTCACATGAATTTAAATCAGCACAGCAGACTAAACAAAATTCCCAATGTTTTCAACAATTACCATAATTAAAGATGTCTTTGCAGAATAAAGCCTAAGCTGGTTCTCTGTTGCCTGTCACTAGGTAGATATTCCCATCTCTTCACATCAAATGAAACATCAAATGTTTCAAACTCAGAATGGTGGTAGCATAAACCAACTTGCAGCAGTGAGTACTACTCACAAACTTTAGAATAAAATAGTAAAAAAAGGCCTATGTAAAGGCTGGAGAGGAAAGACGCTGCTTAGTAAATAGCAGTTAACAACAGGCATGTATTTGAAATACTTATGAGGGTAACTTGCATGGCAAGGCAATACCTGTTGGTCTCTACGACAGATTTTTGTTGCTGAAAAGTGTTGTGTAAGAGAATAACAACTCTCTTTCTTTCCAATTTAAGAGATGAACCATCTTTAAATATACACAGATGTACCCATTGGGGGTGAAGTTTGCATAAGTAGGCTGATTCAGTGAAGCATAGCTACACAGCACATACGCAATAAGCAGTCAGTTGCTCATGTCAGGTTTCCTGTGCTCTTATTCTAAATTAAAGTCCTGATAAAAGTCTGGAGTGCATGCAAGCTAACTGGATGAAATTCCAAAAGTGTATTTTATGAGATTTCACCTGCAAAAAGTTGGCAGGTCTCTTCAAGTCATGTGACAGGACTCAAGTATTGCTTTGTGGGAATTTCCCTCAGAAGGACTACATTCACTTGGAAAGTCTACAAAAAAGCATGAACCTAGTAATTTTTGTAATTCCTCTTCCTTTGAAAACAACAACAATAAAACAACCACCTTTTTTTCCTAATTTCCAAAACAAAAAGTGTTCTTAGAAAAAGAGATATTTCAATTTAAAACGAAAAAAATTCTAAATTTACTTACTATTAAAATCTTCATCAAGAAGATTCATTTTCATTCAAGACTGCCTGGAATTCAGCTAGCATGAGTGACTTTATTGTCACTTCACAGCCACCAATATAAGCTTCCAAAAACACCTGGCACATGTGTTTCTGAACATGTCCTATACATGAAGCACTTTGTAAGGAGCACTCTGATCTCCATCCACACTGTGCTTTCCATTACTACCCAAGAGCGGCATCAGCCTGGAGCGCTATTTTCACCCCATGCGAGACGAGGTGCCGGATGACTTGGAAGGAGAATCCCCACACACCTCCAGCTCAGAGCCCAGCATGCTTACAATGCTGTGGTGTGAATTCAGAAGTATTATTCAAATGCAGGCTACCCTCTGGGGCCACAAAGTCAGACCAAGGGTTAACATCAACTTAGTGAGAGCTCAGCGCGTTCACAATTTGTGGCTTCACATGTGAGTTTGTGCTGGGGCTCTTAAGATCCCAAAAGCAGAAAAAGTCCTTGCTCCAACAGGTTCCTGCCACCAATACAAAAGAAAATGATCTGCGGAGAAGGTCTCTTGTGTCGGCAGCAGAGAGAAAGGCAGTTCTCACGATTTGATTCTCACTCTCGTTTTATAGCACCAGATGTACCTCCAAATTACTCAGGTTAGTAAAGAATTATCAGAACCATATATCTTTCTAAGTAATCTTCATAATCTCTCACTTTTACTCACAGAGATAAGGAATATATTTTGTTACCATTAGCAGGAAGATAGGTGAAAAGCTGGTATTGGCTTCTCTTTCTCTTTCCATTGCAGACATAGAAGTTGACTTGAACAGGGCTAGTAATTCTCTGATTGCGGAAAGGTGGTATCTCAACCACCAAAGAATTCTGCAAAAGGAAAAAACCAGAAAGTCAAGGCATGACTAAGGCAGCTGAGCTGTACAACAGTATTCACATGTTAACCCTGAGAAGGAGGCACCCGGTCTCTTTCTGCAGGGGAACTGGTGGGCTTCATGGGCAAGGAAGGCCTCTTGCTGCCTCAGTGTCCATGTCAAGGACTCCAGAAGTAGGGAAATAAGACTTTAGCATGGCTCAGGTCTTTACAAAATCACTATCCTTCACCTCTTCCCTTTGGATACAGTACCGCAAATGGACAAGGCTCTATCCCTCCTGCCTCTGACAAGAATCTGGGATGACAATCTAACTCAGCAGGAGAAAGCACAACCACTTGGCTGGCAGGTCACCCCCAGTATATCTCACCCTAACACAGATTCCTTTGAAAGAAGAATTAGGACAGGCATTATTCAAATATTCAAATTATTAAAATATTTCCTTTTTCCACAGGGAAACGTTTTTTCATATAACAACTCAGGAAGTTTTAAGCATGATAGTTTTTGTGGATGGGAGATCTTGCAAGAACATCTAGTGCTACAGGAAGAAGGGCTGGCGAGTGTGTAGGTATTCTTCCACTGTCAGAAACCAAATGGACATGCTTAGCATGGGGCTAAGGAACGACTTCGCTATTAGGGCACCAGCTTACACAAATGCACAGTGAAATCTGCTATGACCATGAAAAACTCCCTTGGCACTTTTTGAAAGAATAAAAGGTTAGTAAAGAATTATGAAATAGAAAAATGCTTTTCTTAGCATTTGGCCTGCATTCATCTGAGGTTTTTAAATTGTTTGCCTGCATGTCTCCAGCAGGTTTGCAGCTAACAAACTGTTGCATATGCCTGCAGAGGTGGAATAGTGGCCATATTTCCCACTTACAGTCATGGCTGAGGGAGGCACACTTCTCCAACCGTGGGGATGATCTCCTGTGAAGGGAGTCACATTTCTTCTGCCAAAGGTAGATGAAAGCCAAGGAAAGTGATAAGAAATTGCTTTGGGAGCAGCGGGAAGAACTGACCCAGCAAGACTGAAGATGAGCAGACAGGGCTGGCCCGTCCGGACAATGAAAAAATATTTTCCAAATGGTCTCTCCTACTTTCAGGATAGCTTCCAACAAAGACTTCTTACCCCATGCTCCCATTAAAGAAAGATTTCCAGGAGGGGAGGCCTAAGTACTTGTTCTGTTTCAGTGGGGAGACACAGTGCCAAAGCCTTGGAAATCCCTCTTTAGTAACAGTGCTGGAGAAGGCAATATATATTTTTCATCTTGATGTTAAAATATTTAAGGCAGACTTACTGGCTTGCACATTTCTTTGTCGGTTTTGGCTTCCATTTCCCACACATGGTGACCATCTAAAAGACAAAAGAAAAAGATATCTAGTTCCATCCTTTTTTCCTCTCCCAGGCCTACAAAAGAATGACTTTTGAAAAAAAATCTCTTTGAAGGGGCACTGCATATATGAAAACCAGCTCTCAAAATGCATTGCCCAAGCGTTGCCCAACCAGGAGGCCATCTGCGTAATCTGCGACAGCAGTCCGCTTAGCTTTTTTGAGGGGGGAACCACAATCCAGAGGGCATGATACTGCAATGGGAGAAAGCCACCGGGAGATATTCCACCACTAGTTTGGACAAAATATGCAACCATTTTACACCTTAGTTTCCCAAACTTTCAGACAAAAATACTGCTACCTATGAGCCCTTTTGATCACTACCTATGCAGCAAGTCATATTCAACATTAATATTAAACAAAATAAAACAAGTAGTATTAAAGAAGCTCCTCAGCCATGCAGTATTTCATTTTAATATACTCCTAGTCTGGCATGTCATAATTCTGCTGCTTGGATCAAAAGGCATGGCAATAGGCTGGGCAACATAGCTTTTGACTCCATTTTAAAGTTGGTTTAGTGCAGCTACAGTGGTCCCACCTAGTTTTCTGGAGCTGCTTCTAGTGGTGTGTTGGGTCCTCTAATAATTTACTGTATTTCTGTTTTCAAGCATACATAGATTTAAGCCACAGCTATCACGTTTTTGCTGGGGACCCATCTTTTGGAATAAATTGATTTTGTCTGGTCATTTTTCCTGCACCTCACCGATACAGAAATCACTGGTCAATAACAGATTTTCTTCTTCTTACTTGTGGCTTCAAAACTCAACAGCAAAGAAATTAGAAAAATCATACAAAACGTAAGGTTTCCGTTCTGCAGGCTTAGAAAAATACGAACGTGTATGAAAGGCCACAAGCAGACTGCTGTCTAAGTTGGGCAGCGGGGACACATGCAGCTTCATGAGTCCCACCATTGTCAGATGTCACAGGAATGAAAGGGAAAATAAGACTTTGTGTCATCTCTTTTGTATATTTATTGCAGGATCGGGACATGCAAATGCAAATATTAGTTATTTTGAACTCCATCACATAGACGTGGGCCTGCCTTAGAAAAACAGCTCTCGGCAAGGTAAAAGAGTGAATGCACTTTTTCTTCTCTCTTCGCTTTCATGGCCAGGATGGAGCTGACGCATTTAGAACTGCCTGATTTATTACAAATGTCTGTAAATAATATTTTTGTGTACAGCTGTCCTACTGTGAAAGGAATGCTGCTGAAGGACTAACCCTGGTGATTGTTTTAACGTCCAAAAACCCTTTCTTTTTAACGTATGGAAAGAAGTGCAACGTGAAAGTTGCAGCGCAAATGGCACAGTGGATTTGGTAGGTCTTTCTGTAGGAAACAATTAGCAGATCTACCCTTAGTTTCCTCCTACATTTTACATTGTGACGCTGGAAAAGGAATCCTTTTAATTCGTACTGTCACGTTCAGCTGGGGGGATAGAAGGAGCAGCCAGACCATGCTCAAGTCTACTTAACAACGCCTTTTGAGAGCACCAGAATTGAAGCAGACTTCTTGGGAGGACTTCACAATTTATCCAACAGATGCTTCCCCCGAGCTGTCAGTAGAAAAAACTTGACCAAAATTCGGCAAGCCAGGACACATCCCTCATCTGGGAGCAGCCTCCTTGATCTCCCACCCCCTCCCAACAGAGCCCCCCCTGTAGCCCTCCCTTCGCCTCCCCAGCCCAAATTAATTTGATCAATTGTGAAAGTAACACAAAACCAACACTATCACACATTTTGCGAAGTCTAGGAACTTCTGCTTTGTAAGGGGTTTGTTGGTGTTTTTTTTTTAAATCTACAGACGTCCAGACTAGTAGTTAACGTGTTCAATTTGCCTTTGTAAACGGATTACCAGAAGTTCAGGTTTTTTGCTATGTTTAATTTCTGCTTTGCAAGATGAATGATCTGATTCAAGTTTCTGTTTTTTATTTCCTGTCGATACTTCAGTAAAATTCAAGACGACTCCATCTCTAGCTAATCTTTCAATTACTTCACGCAGCACTGCCTTTATGTGCTTTTGAAATTTTTATGATGACAAAGAGAGTTTGTTCAGAAATATTTTAAATGCTATAATCTAAGCTACTAGGAAAATAAAAATCCAGAGCCGTGGCTCGTCTTTGGAAGCTAATAAGAACAATACGGGTTTCGCTCCAAGAAATTCCCTTGAGACTGTCCAGACCATCGCTGCTCAGCGACTGAGGGGAAGGGGAAGAGAGGGAAGAAGTAGGGAATAGACAACTCATTAACAGCTAGTGACATGTCATTTAACAAAAACACAGGGAGGAAAAGTTGTTATGAAGCAAGAAACAAAAAAAAAAAGAAAAAAAAAAAAGACGACAATTCCTCATATTACGTCTGGTGAACCAAGAGGGAAATCTCAACGCCCACGGACTGGGACCAGCTCCAGGAGGGAAACCTTAGACCACTACGTCAACCTCTTACAGTAAACATGTTTTGCAGGTTTATACAGTTCAGCTGAAATTATTTAAAAAAAAAAAAAAAAGAGAAAGAAAGAGAGAAAGGAATAATGGCTCCAGAATGGATCATCAAGACAATCTGCCTACGCTGGAGAGAACGCTTTTGCCCCCGGTGCCCACACGCCGGGGACCCTGGTGAGCAGGCGGGATGCCGCCTCCCGTCAGCGTGTGCTGGAGGAGCGAGGGCTGCTCAACCACAAAAGTTTCCATTGTACGCCTGCCACATCTGCAGCAGCCCGCCTGGTTCGGGGCCCGAGGCAACTCCCTCCTGGCCGCTGGCCAACCAAAGTACACCAGAGCAATTTATACCTTTCCAAAATGCAAATAATTCAAATTACAGACATAACACAAAGCTGAAGCAGACACATTTCAGGCATTCCCGTTAAAGTTTACTCTCTGGAATTACCGTACCCAAATGGGCAGTTGTTATACAGGGAGGGGAGGGAGATGGAGGCAGGAGAGGAAGGAGAGGAGGAGGCAGGGAGGAAAAGGGAGAAGGGAGAAAACGGCTTTTCCAAAGGTCTTATTTCATTCCCTTTCTTTTCGCTATTTACTTTTACCAAGTAATAAGAAGCGTCTTCTCCAAACCAAATGCCTGGCTTTGTTTTGGCATTTTTAAGATTTATAGCGCAATATTTTGAACAGAAAGGCATCTCTTTATATAGCTAAAAAGTTGTGTCAAGGTATTATACTGGGTTCATTTTATTTTGTGGTTTTTTGTTTTTTTTTTTTTTTGTTTTTTTTTTACAAAAGGGAAATAAAAACAAATCATCCGTGCACAGAACCGCAGGGCAGAAACCCTGCAGAGTCCCGGCCAGAGTGCCCCGCTCCCCCCGTGCCAGCAGCAGCAGCAGTTGACCCGACAAAGCCGAGGCTTCACCTGGAGACCCGTGCCAAGGGCTGGAAGAAGGACCCTCCAATCCCTCCTCCTCCTCCGAAGAGGCAGTGCAGGAGCGCAGCAGCGCCAGGGAAGCACGAAATCCCCCCGTTTCGTGCAGGCTCTCCGACTGCGCCCGGGCTGGACGCTGCGCTGACAGGTGGCCATCAGCACTGCCGCCAGCTGAAGACACCGGGTTTCGTCAGGCAGCCTGACATTTACAGACTGATCACTGTTATTTATAGTCATCCCTGCTGCGGGTGCACTTCACCACCAGCCGCCTCAGTCTTATTTTTTTTTTATTTCGGTGCTGTGACACTCGGAGCACCTAGGATTGCTAATGACGAAAATACCGCAAACCTACCGGCGTTACGTGGGGTGGATTTTCAGCTTTGCAAAGTATAAACACCCCGTTTTAACATGCGGCGGCTGAACAGTGAATGGGCCTTTGTAGTCTGCTCTTATCAGCCGCTCACTCCGGCGTTAAAGGAAACTGCACGCAAGTCCAGAAGTAAAAATACTCTAATTCATCAGGGAATTCCCTGCAGCATGAGTCACTGAACGGCTTCCCCACCACACCCATACAAGATTTCCACATAAAAAGGCACTGTAGAGGCCTGTTTTAACACAGAAGCAGGGCTAAAAAGTAGTTGTATAAATCTAACTGCATCAGTTATTCACACATAAAGCCTAGCAGACCACAACATACGGATTTTCTTCATGGAAGAGCAACACAAAGAGCTGTAAAGATTTTCCACTGAAATTTTCCTACCGACTTTCCCTTCTCACTGCCCATCAGGACGGATGCCCCAGGATTTACAGGGCTGGGTTTACCTTCGTACCCCAGGGAACTGCAAGTGTAGTGCCAGGGGTTCGCAAGCTCACAACAGTCAAATCACAAGCATAACTTTAATGACAGACCGATGGATGGCAGAAAGGGGAAAGAACATTACCAAAGTAGAGTAAAAAAAGAAGTAAAAAGTAAAACACAGTACCAAAGTAAAACACAGCACCAAAAAAAACCCCAAGCCTGGAAACTCAGAAGGGTATAACATCTGGCAGCCACTTAAACCCTGCCTCTATGAAATGGGCATAATGGGAGCATTCAGATATATTTAAGTGATTTCACTTTACTACAGGAGGTTGAAACAGTCTATATTCTTTAGTAGTCCTGTGTTCACTTGACATATGAGAAGAATAGACATTATCTAGGATTTCACTGCCTGTATACAGTGTACATTTTATATTGTTCCAGCCTGCGGCTCAACAGTTTGACTGCACTGGCTGGACTGTAAATATGTATTTACATTCATATATTGCAAGTAAGATGGTGAAACTATCTCTATCCTCCCAAAGGAACCCATTACTTGATTAATGTGTTGTGAGATTACACTAAACAATAATGCCTATATTACATCCGAGGTTACTTTAACATGTCCACAGCAGGCAGGGCACAGATGCAATGCAGAATGATTATACAGCATAATTCTGAGGTGCTCTGCAAAGGTTGTCTACCTTCCTATTTGGCCTGTTAATGCATATTCAAATCCCTCAGGAGTGAAGGATTTCCAAGTTTCAATTTGCACTCCAACCCCTTTTCCCTGTGTACA